TGTACTTTTGTTTCTAAATACAGGACGATTCCGTTTTTTAAGGGACGGTTGGCAACCCTACTTATAAATACCTTACTTACTCAGTGCTTCTATAGGAATTAAGAGGGAAAGTAACAGCCAGGTGCTGCAAATCAATAAACTTGATTAGCTGGGTATCACAAAGTATGTTACAAGGCTACATCTAAGACTCTGCAGTCCTGAGTAAGCATGTTAAAAATGAAGGTTTATTAGGCCTACAGTACAATTAGAGAAAGATTAAACAAGTATGCTTTTGTCTTGTTTTTTCAGAGGGAAGAACACCGTAGTGTGTAGGGACGACACCTTGCTCAGGGGTACCTCAGGGTAGCCGTTCAGTGGATTCAAACTCGCGACCACTCTATCTACTGAGATGTCAAGAGAGCTGTGCATAAACAGTTGCCTGCAAACCTCAATGAACTGAAGCAATGCTTTAAAGATTGAGCCAAAATGCCTCCACAGTGGAAAATGGAGGCATCCACAAGGAAATGAAGCTATGATAGAGTGATATTAACACAATGTACGCACTTAAAAACACAAACTCTGGCTATGGATGAGGCCTCATAATGGTTTACAAAATATATTTTTTACACATTTTGCCCCTTCATTTTGTACTCACATTTAAACATCTACATGGCCTATGAGAACTTAGTTACTGCGCAATGATTCTCTGCATTTATTTGCCTGTAAAATATTACACTATGGGAATGCAATATTGCTGATCATCTGTTTGTAAAGGAAACGTTAAAAACAAACCTCAATCAGGGTTGTCAAGCTCATACAGCTGCTTTTATCTTAAGGCGAGCCAGACCATTGAAACTACACGATGAAAGCATAAAATTACAGTCTTTATTATATTTAATATAAAGAGTTTTTGTTAATTTACTGTAGATAGTGGAAGAAAAAACAAGAACTTTCCCAGTATTTGATTGTTGACCTGTTAGTTAATTACTGCGCTGGGCAGTCTTAATCAATAACGCACTAAAGCTATAAAAGTTAAAAATCTATGCACTACTTTCCAGAAGTGTCCAGTTGACCAGGTTTGGAGTCTTCGCCTGGCTGATTCTGACCCCTGGCCTTATATTTGACACTGGTGCCCTAAATGACAACATTCTTACAGCATAGTAAAGTTGTACGAATGCAGTATATATCACAAAAAGAAAAAGTCTTTGCAACCAGCACAGAGCAGGCAGGGAAATAAATAGACAAACTGTAGAGTACTCAAACTATAATACAGAGTTTATTGGGACTTGAAGGACACAGTGGGTTTGGCTTTCACATGCACTCAGCACTTTGCTGTATATCACATTTAAGAAGGAAAATTCCCTCATTGATTCACTCCTCTCCATCCTTTTGCTCCTCCTTCCCTTCACTTCCAACAAACCATGTGAGTTTGTGTGTATTGGTGTTGACACGTTCCCCCAGCGAAGCAAACAGAGCATGACAGTCAGAGAATAAACAAAGTGCTGATATTTGTGTGGGCATTGTCTGAGAGCTCATGCTAACAAGGAGGCACTTCAGTCTGATTCAGATTTTTTTTTCATATCAAGTACGCAGAGGGAAAAAAAAGGCTTGTGTGAGATTGGTAAGGACGATTAAAAAGTATTGCATGGACCAGCTTTCACTACCTCAAACAGGGAAAATACTACATTCTTAAATTAACAAGAGCCTGAACTCTTCCTCCCTTTTAACTGGCGGTGCTGCTGCGAGAAGGCCACTTCTATGCGCGGAGATCCTCTGGTGTCTCCCTCTCCTCCTCCTGGCTCTAGCATGACTGAACTGGACTCATTAAGGGAAAAAAAAATCAAAAGGCAAACCTTTCACATAGCTGTGTGTCCAACTGTAATCGAAGACACAGGGTATCAAGAGGAAGACCCTTTAGATTTGTGAGGCATTTTTGAAGAGCGAGTTGAGGGTAGGTGTAAGAGGGCTAAAACATAACATAACCTGAACAGCAAATGTCTATGCAGCAGTATCTTTTTACATGGACAAACAAAAAGGCATAGGGAGAACAAGAACACTTTAGTTTTGGATGTAGAAAAACAAACGTCATGTGACAATATCACGACAATAATGTGCCTTAATGATCAGAGGTAAAACATTTTCATTTGGTAACAAAACAGCATGACATTATTTGAAATTGTGCAGCTTGGTCAGGCTGAGTGCATGTGTTCCTCTCCACTCTGTGGGGACTGTGCAGAAAATCTGAGCAAAACCGAACAAAACAAAAACAACAAAAAGAAAAAAAAAAGAAAAAGAAAAGAAGTAGAGTTCTGTTTCTGTACAGCATGTTAATTAGTTTGTCAAACTCCACATAATCTCAAATATAAAGTGACACTGTAAACCGAGGGAGGGGGGGACGTCTGCGTGTATATGATGGTAACATCAGTGGAATGAGGTATGCAAAAGCGAAAGGGATACAGCTGTCCATACTTACACTTGTCCATGCAATGAAAACACAACACGAGTCTCACAATTCTGAGGGTGCGCGTCGATCTGATTGTGTATGTACTGTATGCATGTATGTGTGCTTTAAGCGGTATGATATGTCTGCAGGCTCATATTTAGAGAAAGAAAAGTGTCGAAAAGGGATCACGCATTGTGATCCTCCTGTTGTTCCAAACAACGGCTAAAAAAAACCTAAACAAAAAACCTTCAATAAAACCCCAAAATTCAACAATGACAACAGTATCACAAAACTAAACCGTAATCTTTGGCCTGAGTGTACGCAAGGCAATGTACATTTATGTGTTGAGGTTGTTGAGGTGATGTGTTCTGAATGTTTAGGAGTGATCTGAGGTATGGCAGGTGAAAAAACATGTTAAAGTTGTGCAGATGGCGACACCTGGGGAGGCGGGGGCGGGTGCTGTCGATAGATGGAGAGATATCGGTACGAGATACAGGCCAGAAAGAAAGTACACGACTGAAAGTGACTGGAAAAAAAGATAATCTTTTCTTCTTTTTTTTGTCTCGAAAAACAAATAAACAAATAAACCAAAAATAAAATAAAATAAAAATTCACCAAGACCCCATCTTCGATTCCCTGTGGTGGTCTTTATTATACAGTGGATCCCCTGAATATTAGCTTGTTTTCTATCCTTTTTTTTTTGTTTAATTTCATCACTATCAGTGGCTCTGTTCTACAGTCCAACAATCCTGAGGGTAGGTAAGGTTTGTCTAAACATTTCCAAAAGTCTCTGCAACACTGACCATCCTACTTCAAATGCCCAGGACATTAGGGCATGGTCATCCCCCTCCCCTCCCCATCCCACCCCTCCCTCCCACTCAATGGACTGGCCATCAAGGCTTTTTAGACCGGCTGTTGCTCAGGCCCCAGCAGTGGACCAGTCAGCAGGAGGGAAGCCCTCGGTAGCTCCTTCCCTTTGCACGGCATATGTGTGTGTGTGTATGTGTTCTGTGTTTGTGTATGTGGGGCGCCCACACAGACACGATGCCACTAGGGGGCAGAGTTGGACATGGAGTCCACAGAGTTTACGCTGGAAGACTGCACACGGCTGTTGGAAATGGACACCTCTGGGTGCTGCGGCAGAAAAAGAGAGATAGATTTGCGTGGGTTAATCGAAATTGGCTTTGCCTGCTTTCCAAATGCGCCTGTCCGTTCACTTACATGCCTCCTGAAGATCCTGTCCAGCAGGCTGCGTCGAGGTGGCTCTGGCGGCTGGTTCCAGTCCAAATCTGGAGATCTCATTCCATGTGGCCCAAACACATTCAAATCTCTGAAACACTCGGTTTCTATCATCTGGATAAGATGAGAATAAGAAGCAGAAAGAGGAAAATGTGTGAGCTTTCCCAGCAAGTTGCGAGAAGCGCACTGAGCGTTTAAAATGCCGTATGACATGAACGCGCTTACCTCATTCTGCCACGGGATGGAAACGCTGCCTGTAGAGAATTTGGAGTAGAAGTCATTGTCTGTTTGGTCCAAATTGACTCCCTTGACTGTGGAGAACTGCTCTATGTCCAAAACATCCTTACAGTACACTGCCCGAGGCTGAGAGAGGGCAATGACCATGAAAAAGATTGGGTTGAAGGGAAAAACAGAAAACAAGTTTATCTTAATAGATAATTTATCATCATGGAATTTTGGTTGCTGTTTCTGATTTTTTATTTTATTTTTTATGCTGGCTATTTTTGAATATTTCCACTGATATAACAAACTTAAAAAAAATGTCCTTACTGACGCAGGAAGTGTCAGTAAGGATTCTTGGTTTTAGCAGTGAGTTTGATTTAAACCTCCAGTGCAGAATAATATCAACAACTCACATCAGGCACAAAGGGAGGCTCCACCATTCCAGCCTCCATCCTCTTGAAGTTGATGTTTTTGAAGAACGAGTGGGCCTTGACGCCTGCTGCTCCATCCGCCTTGCACCCCAGCCTCTGCTTAGGGTCTTTGGTGAGCAGCTGGGTGAAGTAGAAGCAGAGATGAATCACTCAATTGTTCATCATTCATCTCTCGCTATACAAACATCTCTCCATCAAGCCTCACCATTCTACAGATGGCCTTGGTGTCCTCTGTAAACTTGTCGTTGTACTCCTCCTCTTCGTCCTGCACCCTCCTCTCCACTTCCTCCCGTTTCACTCGCTCTTTGCGGGCGCGGAAGGGCGATCGCCCGGCGGTCATCTCGTAAATGAGGCAGCCCAGTCCCCACCAATCAGGACTCATGGCGTACTTTTCGTTATTTATCACCTCCGGAGCTGTAGACCCAAGGGAGAAACTTAATGAAACTTGCACATTTTACCCTTCTCCTTTAAAAATGTTGACTACAGTGCTTCTTACCCATGTAGCCTACTGTCCCCACTCTGCCTCTAATGAGTTCTCCATCAGGCACTTTGATAGCCAGCCCCAAGTCAGAAATGCGAATGTGTCCTGCAACACAGAGTGTTAGTGAGGTGAGGTGAGGTAAGGTAGAACTGCTGATGTTATCCACATGTACCTGACAGGATCTTTGTGCACAACTAGCTGGCTGTAATTTATCATACGATAAATGTGCAATTTAACATGCAAAATGCTGCATCGCAATATTTACGAATAAGAACTGCTGAAACTTCAAGACTCACCGTTGTCATCTAATAGGATATTCTCAGGTTTCAAATCCCTAAAGATGACACAGCATGCAAGTGTGTTAAAGCATAAAGTATCAGTTCACAACACACATTATTAAACAAAATGTTTTAAAAAACATTAACATTCAAAGGCTTTTCTCTTCTGATTGAATTACACCTTAAAATGCATTTAAGACTGTGTGAGATTTACCTGTAGACGATCGATTCCCTGTGCAAATGCTTGAGACCGCAGCAGATTTGAGCAGCGTAAAACTGGACCCTGTCTTTGTCGAAGCCAGGCGTGCCCATGTTGTAGATGTGAAACTTCAGGTCGCCGCCGTTCATGATGGTCAGCACCAGACACAGGGCGTCTTTGGTCTCATACGCGTACGCTAAGCTCACCTGGTTGAAGACAACAGTCATGCAGAAGCCGCAAGGCATCAACGCTGCACTTTATTCCTCTTAATTTTCTACTTACGACAAATCTACTGTTGACTTTCTCTAAAATCTGCTTCTCGTTGAGAGCCATGGACTCTCCTTTCCTCTTCTTTATCCTCTTCTTCTCAAGCTTCTTGCAGGCGTACATCTTCCCCGTTGCTCGAACCTGGCAGGCACATACCTGTGGATTAAAGACACCGTGTTATCTCACATTTCACTGTGAAATGGCAATACTTTTAATGTCAACATCAAAATTTATCTCCGGGTCTCTCACCTCTCCAAATCCCCCCTTTCCCAGCACTCGGTACTGTCTGAACGTGTCCTTAGTGATTGGTTGCCTGGAAAAACACAGGCACAGCAAAACCCATTAACAGATGTTCATAGTATTGATTAAGACAGGCATTATGTGCAGAACTCAATACCATCCTGAGTCTGTTTCCTGTATAGATGATGGAACCTCTTGTACATAATTTCACTTTCCAGACACGGATACAATCAAGGCTGCTCTGAAAGCCTGCTGTTTACTCCCAACTGCTGTTTATTTACATGCTATCTGCATAAAATATTATACTGTTTAGAATGAGGTGTAATTCTATCCAAGTCATTTCTTATCTGGAAAATTTACCTTCTTAACTTTTTAAATTATGGTTGCTGGGGCTGTCATGACATCTGACTTTCATTTCATGATTATCACAGAAAGTTCTAGATACAATATTATTGCAGTATCATTGTATTCATGTCTCATTTTATTCATTGTGAAATGACTTTAAAGAAAAAAAATAACAACCCCAAAACCCAAAAGGTTGGGATTGTGTGCAAAATGTAAATAAAAACAGAATGCCACCACTTGGAATTTGGATAAAGCCATATTTTATTCACAACAGAACACAGAAAACCTATTTGATGGTTAAAATGGAGAAAAAAATGGAGCTTGTTTTCAATTTTACTGCAGCAACACGTCATTTTGCAACTAATTAGGTGATGTGGCAACAGGCCAGTAATATGATTGGGTATAAAAAGAGCATCAGTTTCTCAGTAAGTATATATAGGCAGAGGTTCGTTTTTTTTGACGATGCTGTTCCCTCATCAGATAATATTCCTCTCTAAAAAGTCCAGCAGCTGCTCTCCTCAACTCCTGAACGTTACAGGCTGTTGTTAAAAGAAGAGGGGGTGCTACACAGTGGTGAACACGGCCCTGTGCCAACTACATCAACATCAAAAGGAGCCAATAATTTTTCAGTTACATTCAGTTAGAGTTTTTCATTATTTGATATAATTTCTGTGTTCTATTGTCAATAAATTATGGATTTATGGGATTTGCTAATAATTTTGTTTTATTTAGATTTTACACAGGATCCCAACTTTTTCCGAATGGTTGCTGCAAAAATACAAAGTCCATGAGGGGTGATGACACAGTTATTTCCCAGACTATCAAATGTCCATTACTAACATAATAGTGATATTTCGTTTGCAAATATCACAGTTATAGTCAATACAGACTTTGCATAATGCGGACTTTACTTATGTTGGGTTTTTCCTTATTTACCTGTCGCTGGAGTCTATGTTTGTCTCTTTTTAGGTTGTTTCTTTGACTCACTGAATCTTTACCACAACGTGATCTGGAGAACAGACAGCGGCTAATTTTTGTTTTAAAACTGTCAAACTCCACGCCAAAAATAATCAGACAAAAGAAGCACTGAATGAATGTGAGCTTATTTACACATCAACTTTTATCTCGACTTTAATTTTAACCTTGCTGTATTTATAGGGCAGTGATCTTTACTAGTCATTTTACAAATAAATGATATGTAATCCATATTATCTTGATTACTGATTATTCCCCACATTCATATCCCTGACTACAACTACTAAATTACATTTTATAAATGTCTGCATTCAGAATTTCAATGTGTTTTTTTTTTCACAGATGAGAAATGGATATAAGCAAACAAAACCCAGCCAACCTCTCCAGCATCTTCCACTGTAGAAAGCGGTCAAAGTACATGCTGTTCTGGTAGTCTGCAAACGGAGCTCCACTCAGGTAGTCATGGACAGCCCTGGTGCAGCGCAAAAAAATAAAAATAAAATAAAATAAATCAGTTACCAAAACGCACGTTGTGGGATGAAAATGCAGAGACAAGGCAGAGACAAATTAGAGAGAGTCCTGCAACCAGGTGAGCGTGAATGAATGAGGAACTCACTTGCGGCAGTTGCTGAAGATCTCCTTACATGGACTCAGCTCGAGGTTCTCTCTGCACTGGTCTGCAAAAACCTCCGCTATGTCTACACGCTGAGGTGACTACATCAACACATGTAAACAGTAGCACACATACAGGAATGCGTCACTCTTTATTACACACACTACAAATTAAAGAGATAACATAAACGCCTGATCTAATTGACGATGAAGTAACAATACATTGACTTTTTAATGCGTACACTTGATTACTAAACCCATGCGGGCATCTTGGCAAACTTTAATTCTGCCGTCTGCTTGTCTGCTTACAAAGTTTTCTTTTGAAGCAAAGTGTGAAAAAAAAGAAGGCTCGAAAATTTTTAAAATGCATCAAATGAGGAAACTTACATTTTCTGATAGAAAGGCCTTGATGATCTGGCACCCTCTGCTTTTTCTTTTTTCATCAGGTGTTACCTCATAGTCTTCCTAAACAAGAGAACAACTCAGTGTTGTTAACAAAACTCCTGTTATAGATTTGTGTTACATACTTTTATAGATGTGACAAAAGTATTAACGTGCACTTGATCGTCTGCAGTCAAGTAGTTATTTATCAGTGCCAATTTCAAACAAGGCAACTTATGTAATGAATATTTTCTAGACTATAAACAGTGGCATTTACATCACTTGATCAATTATTGGCTAATTTCAAAGTTCAGATGTAAAAGATGATGTTTAGTTTGTTGTGAAATTGTGAAACATTTCTTTAGACTTCTATAGATCTCAAATCTACAACAACAGACAGTATTTAGTAATGCAATGATTTATTGGATGGGGTGTTGTGAAACTGTCTTTCAATCTGACCTTTTATTAATTACTTCACTGACATTTGTAACAGCTTGATTGTTGACTTTCTGTAGCAGCAAACCATGACTACATGTTTTATTAACCACAAAGTCCCAGTGGACTTGGAAGACACCCACTATTCTTTTGCAGTTGTTGAATAACAGAATTTATTGGAATGAAAATAATAACTTCTCCCTTCCAGTCAAGCCAAGTCAAACCGATTTTTATCTCAAGCATCCCAAATCCCCAATTTACATCGACGAGATCTATAATCTGCGCAGGAGATTTGTTTAAAACAAGGAAATAAATTTCCCCTCAAACAAGTGCAGGAGGAAATGATGATAATAGAAAAACTAAACACAACTAAAGTGTTTTATAATCGTTCAACCAGAGAAAGTCAGCTGTGATAAATGACATGTTACTAAAATCCTTTTAAATTACACTGATGATGATTTAGAACTCGGACTAGAAGGCATTCAAACTGGATGCATAACTCCAATAGTGGAAAAAAAAAAAGCCCCCCCCAAAAAACCAAATGTCTCTCGAATTTTTCCTGCTTTTTTCCTTTGAAAGACGAAACAGCTGCTGTGCGGTTACAGAAACACACACCTCTCACTCTCTGTATATCTGTGTTTCCCTGTCACTCTCACATAAACATATGCTGCTCTTGGCTCCGTGTTTGCACACATGCAGCTGATGACACTAACAGGTTGGGTCGTTACGCGGCGGACACACTGGACTTCTCGCAGGGGCAGTGACATGAAAAGCTCGCTGACGCATTTGGAAGCCGGCACTTTTAACCTCTCAAAAGCGGGAGGGGGAGGGCAACATGGCATCCATGCTGGCATGGCTGTTTCTATTAGTGGGCTTTTTCCAACATGGCCCTGTGTTGCCTGGCAACCACACAGTAAACACGGTGGGATTCCTTGAGGTCCTGCAGTGTCACAGTGTGTCACACCAGCGTCACCAGCTTTCCACTACAACACACATCAACGTATATATGATATGCACCGCGGAAGCACACATGAGCTCGAAGCTTAAGGAAAAAACTGGCTTTAAAAAACCACAGCATCACAGACACTACAGAATGAAACACGAAGAAGCCAACACTGTACGTAAACATGTAAGATTATGACTAAAAGTCACAGAGAACGAGAGAGAGCGCTGTGATTGCTGCCAAGTGTTGATTAACTGAGGCTTTGTTATCAGAGGTTTCAGAGAAACACACACACAGTAAATGAGCTGTCTGACTCCCACTGCTTGCTGGAGGAGCAGGAAAAGGGGGGAGGGGGGTTCAGCCAAAGGGGAAAGAAGACGCCTCCTTAGCCTTTTGGAAGCAGAGTAGATCCAACACATACAAACACCTTCTCATGATGTAAGAGGAACCATTGGAACCACTTAAGTTGCACACACCGAAAAAACACATGCACAAACACTCCCTCCTCCTTTTGAACCGCTGTGCTCATACTTTCACACGGCTTACACGTTTAAAAAAAACATACATAAAAGAACAACAATTACTGTAAATTGTAGATTACACTAATTACTGCACACTAGATTACACAATAACACTGTCTAGTAAACCTCATACCAGCAATGGACTGCAATGTTGTTTAATCACTTGTAATACAACCACCTGCCTGGTTGTAAACACCCTCAGACCTGAGTAATTGTCAAATGGGGTTCATAAAGCTGAGTTTGTCACATGGACTGTAGAATTAGCTCCAACACGTGTTTGGCTTGAGTGTAAGTGCTTTCCCCCTACACAGAGTGGGGGTGGCATGGAGGGGGTGATGGTCACTTTTAGGGCTGGGCGGTTAAAAGTGGGCAGAAAAGTGGAGAGACGGGGGTGCGCTGGGACTGGAAGGGGCTGGCGAGGGAAACAATGTGTCCTTTCTGCCCGTCACATGTCCGCTAAGATATTCTGGGCATAGATAGATAAAGACTTAAATGTGTCATGTGGGAGGTATTTTGTCTAGACGTGGACATGGGGTGGTAGGAGGCAAAAAGCTGGATAGATTGGGGATCTGGATGGTTGAATAATCACTACTCCATTTAATTGTGTCCTCTTGCTGTGTGACCCAGCAACACTGGCGTTTTTGCAGCCTGCGCTCTAATCAGAGTGAGTACACTAAAAAAGTTGATGAGTGTGTTTCCAGGACTGCATTTATCCAGCAATAAACACAATTTTTTTTCCTCCAGATACTCGCATCTGAGAACATGCTGTCCATTACATAATTGATTACACGCAGGTTACAATAAAAGGGAACTGTACAACTTAACATTTTTAGTCTTTTATTTTAGATGAGCCTTTAATTCCATGCAAAAGAATTAAATAAAGGGTGGCGACCAGAAATAACCATTGATTTTTTGGGCTGAAAGATGAATTCAAAATTATAGGTGATTATTTACTTGTAATGACGATTTGTAAGCACAAGATGATATAAAGTCGAAGTGCAAACGTCACCTATAAAGTAGATGTAATATAATGCCTTTGAAATCCTTTCATGTTTAATAGAGATCTTCTAGGAAGAGAGCGGAATCTGACATTTTCCAGCATTCCTGACCATGTCCGGTGATACACAGCATGTGGACAGGGTTGCAGGCAAATAGTCAGGTACACACTGTTAGCTGCATGTCGTTAGCGTGAAAGCTCCACTTCCTGTGAGCGGTTATAAAGAGTTTGCCAAAGTAAACTGCAGGAGGACCACAACAAAATTCTAACAAACCTAAACAGAAACTTACCCAGCTGAGCTTGGACATTTTAAAGAAGCTAACAAAATAAAAATGGCTATCCAGCAATCCAGAGCTCAAAGCTAGCCACAAGCTAGCAGCCTCAGCATGAGCAAAAGATTAAAGAAGTTACTGGGAAGATTATAGAGACAAGTGAAAAAGGGAAAAAGGTCATTCTCCTGTTATTTGGTGAAGTTAAAAACACACAGAATTATATGAGCAACTGACATTGGTTTTGTTGCACCTGCTTTTGTTTGGTAAGGTAAAATATATCAGGTAAAGGTGGATGTACAATAGGGGTGGGGGGAAAAATCGATACTGTGTAGTATCGTGATATTTTGTTTGCTAATAATGTATCGATACAGGGACAGCAGAAATCGATATTTTGTTACAAAAAAGTTTTTGTGGACTGGAACGTTGATCCTTTTTCTGAGCAAGAATCCTGACACTGTACAAATGTGTTTAACACAACAAGACAAGTTTTATTTTAATTAAGTTTAAAACTTTTTTATTTAATGTAAAATTATATTTTGTTTTAATTTACTTTCAAATTCTTCAGTTGCTGAAGGGGCTGCATAGTTTTCATAAATTGCATAGTTCAGAATAGCTATAATTGTACCAGATGGTTGCATTCAGTTAAGTTGGACTAGACTGTAATGCAAACTGTTCAGTTTGTCAACAATAAAACTGAATGAAATGAGAGAAAGACTGAGTGTGAGACTTTGATATTAGATAAAATGAATATTGATAAGGTTTACCTTTATGTACAGAATCTGAATATCGCAACATTTTTAAAAAAATTGCAATAATATCATATCGTGCGTTAAGTATTGTGATAATATCGTATCGTGGGATGTATGGTGATTCCCACCTCTAATGTACAACATCTGATTTTTGTTTATTTGTACATCTGTCCAGTAGCAGAGCACTTTACTTTCAGTTGTTTCAGTTTAAGATGATCCTGCAGCTTACCGTGGATTGGGTTATATTGTAAAGTTCAATGATTTCTTCACACTTTCTTCACAATATTGCAATCCGTGCATTTGTAGTTTATGTTTCTGAAAACTTTGTTTTACCTTTACCCATGAAAAGGATGTGACTGATTAGTTTGTCAAATCTAAAATGATCTGAAATGCAGAGACACTTTTCTTATTCTACTCTAATATGAGTTTCCACAAGACTGACTTTTAAGGGCCGGAGTGGATTATTCAAATGTAATTTCATGAAATAACGTAGCACACTAACATTTCACATTATGCTGTTTATTCAGTTCTGTGCAAATTCACACTTTTGAAAAGTTTAAAACTTGCTGTTTGAGAATCCCTCTAGTAAGCACTCCACTCCTAGAAAACTCAAACACCAAAATCATTATTAACATCCTCTGTAGGTGTCATGATGCGTGCTTCTGCCTGGGAAAAAAAACAACCAAACAAAACTTGGATTTAACTAGGCAAATAAATAAGATCCCTCCATTGGACAACTACAGTTGCCAATGTGTTTCAGCTGGCTACAGGCTGTTTAACCCTAACTGCTGTAGTGAGTAGCTTCTCATTCCTTAAACAGCCTTGTTGGAAGACATGATATTCCATGATCGTGGTAAAGACGTTACACTGTCTCAGAAGGGCTAAATTATTGGTCTGCATCTAGCAAAAAAAACAACTAACAACTGTAACTATTAAAACTGTTTTAATAAGTTTCATTAAAACTTGGTGAACCATCATCTCATAGAAATAAATGCGGTCAAAAAAAAAAATCATGACAATTTTGGTGAAATAAAATGACAACAAATCAAAAGCAAAAATCACAGCTATTTCTGACTGTAAAAGTAAAAGTATTTCCACAAGCTCACTGAACTAAACAACTGTGTAGCCTAAAGAAAACCACTTATGAGTGAGGCTAAACAGACAGAAAGATCGGAGTAACGGAAAAAGGTCACACGGTCTGATGAATGATTCAATGTGATGGGCAAATCACGATGAGATGAACCCATAATGCCTAGTGCCTACCATACTACCCTGTAGGGAGCAGTGTTATGATCTGGGGAAGCACTGCTGCTACACGAGCAAGGTGCTTTCTGTGTGGAGTTTATCAGTATTAATGCTTAACATTTTAAAAAGGGTATAAAAAAATATTTCTAGGTGGGATCCTAGTATTGGAATTCAACTGTATCAATGCAATGACACTGGATGTGTAAGTCAAAGCTTTAAATTGTGTTTCAAAGACACTCTGTGCAGCGGTAAGATGACAAAAACAACAAAAGTACACGTCAGACTAAAATCCTGTTGCGATAAGGTTCAGTTACAATCACTGGTTGAAGGTTGGTGTGATCTGTCACAAGGAGTTGATGGTTGACTTTTCTATTCCTTAGTTTTAAAAAAAAAAAGATATTTTTAATGCAAATATAAAAAAGGGGTCGATGTAAGTCGTGTGTGCGTGCATGTTTACCATCGCATCCAGCAGCTGGATGCATCGCTGGAGTTTCGGTCTGGTCTCGCAGAAAAGACGGAAGAGAAGTCGTCCGATAGGCTGTTTCTCACAGATGCTGAAATATTCCCTGTCTGCAAAAGAAAAACAAACAAACAAACAAAAAAAACCCATAAAATGAACACAGACTTTAAATCGCAGCCTTTCCAACAAACAGTCAAACACACTCTCTTTAGATGAAGGAAGTGCAGAAACACGTACCGATGCTGTTTCCCAGTTCAGTACACTGGCTTATATGGGGAAAACGAAGGATCTCCTTCCATTTTTTGCTCCTTCCTTTCCTTTTCCCTCCTCCACCTGTCGTGACAGGTAAAACAAGAGGTAAAAATGTTCAACTGAAAGAAATTAATAAAGTTGTCCACATTTATTTTCGTCAGTGAGGAGAAAATGAAGGCCCAATGGCTAAAAGAGAGGGGGGTTGTGTGTGGGCTCTCCCCTGAATGAAATCATAGTCTCAGTGTGTATATATAATTCATAGATTACGTCTCACTTCCTCCGTAACGCTCTCCTCTCTCCACTGACTTTCTTGCTCACTTTTCATGTGAGTGGCTTCACTGGAAGTGGAACAGTGTGTGTGTGTGTTTAATATGAGTGTGTGTGTTTTTGTGTCCACACAGACAGAAAGCCCATTCTGACCGGCTCAGTTCCCATCAGAACCCAGACTGGATTCCACTGCACTGAATAATCATGCATCAGCTTCCTGCAGCTACGTAACACCATCACGAACAAAAACCACTTAGATCTACATCGCCTACTTAGATTTCTGAAGAAATTTTACTGTGCAGTCATCGACGGAGCTGATTATTTTGCCTCTTAACTTTGACCGCTTTCCCATTATTCATCAAAGCCATGTCTAAATCACCTTTGGCGTTTTCTCACAGTATCCACCAGATGCGATTAAACGCAACTTTTAACCTCGTACTTCTACCACAGCCCGCTTTGCCCTTACACCATGTTCGTCTCAAAGTTATTTTTTCTTAATATGTTACGACTGCTCTAATGAAATGACAGGGATTTCCTTTAACCGCTCTGTGCAGTGGAAATTTGCTGCAAGCAGCTCACCCAATGTGAGAGGCATTGAGAGCAATGACAAGCAGACATCTTTAAGTAATAACCCAGGAATGCGAGAGGCCCTACGTCATTGTGGAGGCTCTGAGTGAAAGCTTTTAGCAGTTTTCCCATCAATCCTGCTGCATTACTGTCTCATCCTTTCCTCCTGCTCTGCAGTCTGTTCTGCGTCTCACTGTTGCCTTTGTAATATTATATAATTTACTTGCCAAGAAAATTAAATTGCACTCAACAAGGGGAAGATTAGTCTCAAATTAGCATGTTTTGGTGTGATATTAGACCATAGCTGGGAAACTTTCTTCCCCAGAAAGCCATAAACTGACTAAGATAAAGTAAGCCAACAGTCAAACAAGTGAACCATAGCAGACTTAGAGCTGACTGCTGAATTACGTTACACATGAATGTTGGTATAGACAGAACATACATACATACATACATCACTGACTAAGGAAATGTTTACTCTATATTTACTATATGTAATATTTAATCTAACAGCAAATACATTATCTTATACATGAATACATTCATTCATGTTTTTGTCACTCTATCTGCAAGATCATAAAAGTGTGCTACAATGTCTGATACTGAAATATCGTGCACCCAGAATGGCTGTTCTGCTCTATATTAGTGCGCAAAAGTCTTAATCCACGCCTCAGTTCTTTTCCATTTTGCTGGGAAAACAGGAAATAGATGCAGTCCTCTGCTGAAACATTTGCAAATATATATGGAAACACAGCATATAATTACTGTACCATTCTTCTTGCCCTTTAGATGGATCAACTGAGGGACAACATACATCTCTCGGGTCCTGTATGAGGTCTACTCAAATTTTTCACATGACTTTCAGATACTCTCCACGTAGGCCTGCTACTTTCCCCCCTCCGCTTGTCTGGTTTCCTCAGGTTTTTAAGGACACTCTGCACAACATGCTGAGATATGAAGTTTTGAGCTCATAGGTTTTTGGGAACCACTTTGTTGGTGGAAAAATTTATGCCTGTCAGACTGTGTAACCTTTGATAACTTTTAACTATTTTTTGTTGTGAAGCTCTTTGTGATATTTATCTTAAAATGTGCTCTATGAATATTTAAAAAAAAAAAAAAAAACGTATTTACTTAATTTACTTACTTTTCACATATTGAACTAAAGAAATGGGAACAAATTATATGTTTTTGTGACAGGCTGCTGATAACAAAGAGTCTAAAGACTCAATTCCAGATTTGTTCTTTGCTAAATTGTCTGTTGTGTGTATGGACAACAGGTACAATTTTACAGCATGAATGATTCATAGGTCAGTGTTAAGTGGCTTAAGAAAAATGATCAGGCTCAAAGACTGGACTAAAAATGATTAACAAAGCAGCCCATGTTGAAAGAAACACTTTGAAAGACCTTCAGAAAGCCTGGAGAACTATTGCTTAAGACCAGTTTCCAGTTTTTAAAAAATGACAACAAAATATGAAGAAATGAGGGGTGGCTCAAGATTTTTGCATGGTACGGGTTATTTTGCCCACATAGTACAAAAGCCTCATTTTACACACTTATGCTTATTATTCACTTACCAAGTATGACCCTCGTGTGTCATACTTTCAGGATTACATTGCAACGGCCAGCCATAACCATACATTATACAGGCACAAAGGGATTTAATTAGAGATCATTTCCATCATTACAAGCTGACATAACATTTTTGAACAGATGATTTCACAGCAAAGTATACAAAAGTATTTCAATCCACTTCTTACATATTTGAGTCATAAAAAGTTTTACAGGGTTGTACTGACTCTTATTAGAACTGCAGTATTTTTCTTTTTAGGAGGAGGGGTGTTAAAGATAAGGGACCCTACGTCAGCAAAGCTCACATACGGTATTCAGAATGATACTCGTATCACCAAAGACAAACACGAAGCATGAATGTATTAATAACCCGAATAAAAATATCCCCAAAGACAATCATTAACTTCGAGCACCTGCGCCTCATTAACATTACTGTAGACGAAACTATGCTATAAACAGGCGCACTTCCTTATTTGATCGCTTCTGTAAACAGTTCATATGTAAACTTATGCTCCCCACACAAAAATCCAGTGTGTTGCTGTGTGCTCCAGTTTTTGAATCTCCTTTAATGAAAACATGACATCTGCCAAAAAGGCAAAAGAATACAGCGAATGAAGAAGGTCATTCCCCATGGGAGGGACGCCATGCTAAAAATGTATGCACTTGTGCTAGTGTGAGGCATTTGTGGATACAAGCGTCCAGCCAAATGGCATAAATTTCCTGTGAAGGGTCAACGCCATGTCAAATAATTGTACCAAACATGGGTGCTCCACCCAGGCATTCAACTTCTACACAATGCTGAGACAACCACAAATAATGCAGTTCCTTCTTTTTCTTTCTGTGTCCTGTTTTCTTTGCCTCTCATTGCTCTCCAAGCCTATTTATTTTTCATTCTTTCTCCCTCCCCGCCTCCCCCCTTTCCTGCTTTTTGGAACTCCTGGCATCATCTTCTGCTCTTCTGCTGTTTCCCTGTGATCCAGTATCTTTTTCCCTTTTCTTCTGACACACTGCTGAAGATTTCCTGTCATCACCACATCACTGTCACCAAGTTTGCTGCCAGCCAATCACTGACCTCATTTGCTGTTTCAAGTCTATCAACCCCCTTTTGTTTTAGGACTTTTTTTTAAGGACGTCTACAGCTCCTTGGCCATAAAAATAGAACAATGCTATAGATTAGTGGTTTGCCTCCTTTTTGGGCTTTTCTACGTGTGGTCTCTTGTCACGCTGTTCATGTTATTTTTATAACCCCTCGATTTCTCTCATTCATCACTGCAAATAAAGCTGCTCGAAAGCATATTTATAATTCGTCCCACTGTAACATTCGAGGCCCGTGTGGTGCAAAGACCAGAACACAGAGCACACCCAAACACTCCCACAAACATGCAAATACAACGAATCAATTATTCCTCATCTGAATGTAACAACAAATAAAGTTCTGTTTAGCCTTAGTGCCCTTTGGCCTCTTTTGTCTGTGGGCTCAAGAAAGCACAGCCTAACAGAGGTTAAAAAAATTGTCTGACACGTTGCTGTTACACGGCTTTACGAAATGTTCTGGCAGGATTTGAGGAAAGTTTACAACAGTATTAGATATACAAAGATGAAAGCAAGTGCTAACTTTTTGAAATCATGTTTTGAAGAAGAGAAAAACATTCACATGTTTCGTTTTACGTCCAGATTTGTAACTCTAGGTTCCTGTTTAACAAAACTTGGCTCTTAAAAGTATGAATATCCTCGTAAATATCCTCCATAAACCATCTTGTTCACGGCTGTCTGTTTATTTCTTTCGCTATTAAAGCGTTCTCACTCTTATGTGGTCTGTCAGTTACACACGAGCTGAAATATGTGCTGTGGCGTGGATTTGCTGCACACAGGAACTTGTCAGTCTAATTTGTTCCATGTGGGCAGTGTGGTCGCCACCCTTTATTTATGCTCATGTTTAGGAGCTCTGACATCATCAAGGCATGTCAAGTAAAGCAAAAAGAAGGTCAGAGACAAAACGTCAACCGTCTGGCGTAACACCAGGGGGTTACCCGAACCCCAAACATCTGTGTGTGTGTGTGTGTGTGTGTGTGTGTGCACGCACAATGTCACTACTGTGACCTCTCTCTAGTGTTGTCCTCATGCTCAATTTAATAAACTCGTGGCAATCCTGCAGGCCCCATCCATCCACACCTTCGAAAACAACCCTGCTTAGATTTGAGGTTATACGCACAAAGTGCTGACACTCAAAAGAACCCAAGCCATTAACATCTAGTGCCTGACACACTCACACACACGTGCACACACATAATCTCCGAGGTCTCGAACACCTCCACTTACAATCTCACTCCAAACATGAAGCTAGATGTGCTGTGGACAACCAGCTGAAACCACATCCTGACTGTCACACTGTGCATCTGGCATATATGCAATAACATCTGCAACAGAATGTGATGTTAAGAGCACGAGCGTGAGCAGAGCCGAGCGTTCTGAATATGTGCTATTTTCTACACCTACACTGTGTAAAAAAGTGTGCAAGATTTGAGTAGGTTTCAGTGACTCTTCACTCTCATCTCCTGGCTGCACTGACCCTCTTTGTTCACAAACAACTCACTATCCCTTTCTGATTATCTAACTCTCGCTTATTCCCACATCACCTCCTTTGTCTGATCTGTTAAATGTCGGCCTCGCGGTTGAG